TTATAAAACTAGAGTAACATTTTGAAAGTATTTTATTAGATTATAAATAATTGGCATTTTTCTTTCCACTCTCTTTTATATTTTTATACTTTTGTTTTTTTTAATGCTTATGTATTTTCACATAACTAAGTTTATAATGGAGTCCTGGTGTGGCGTTGTGGGTTAATGCACCAGACTGCAAAGCCGTTTGAACTGCAAGGTCGGTGGTTCAAGCTCACCAGTCACTCCTCAGAAACCCTGCATAGGGTCACTATGGGTCGGATCTGACTCGGTGGCACTTAACAAGAACAACAAGTTTATAATGGATTCCTGGTGTGGCTCTATAGAATAATCATTGGACTGTAAACCACAAGGCCAGCAGTTCAAATCCGCCAGTTGCTTCTTGGAAACCCTATACAGTGTCGCTATGAGTTGGAACTGACTTGACAGCACTTCACAACAAAGTTTCTAATAACCAGTTTGGAGCCTGCTTTTTCCCTTTTAACTACATGGAATTTCCCCTTGCAAGTTTTATTTTGTAATTACTGGCTTCATAATCTAGTGAATTGATACATCATAATTGAATCTATTCTGGACTCCTGGTGTGACATTGTAGGACAAGCACTGGACTGCTAACCATGAGGTTAGCAGTTTTGAACCTACCAGCTGCTTCCAGGAAAACACCTGAGTCAGAACCAATTCCACAGCACTTAACAACATCACCATTCTGAAAGTTGATCATTTTTTAGTGTATGTATTACAAATACGCATTGTAATCCACTGAGGTGTTACCACTTTTTCTTTCTTTTAGGTTATTTCGTTAGGATAGATTTCTGGGACTTACATTACTAGGTCAGGTCAAAAGATATTTATTTTTAGGACCACTACAAGTTTTGACATGTTGGGAAGATGTAGAAATAAAATAAGGCAAATAAAATAACATGCACCTGCCTTACTTGGGGAGAAAAATTTCCTTCCCTAACTCTACTTGAATTTGAAAAGCTATATCAGTGTTTGCTTTTTTTCCCCCTTTTTTTAAAATAACTTTTCTTTTTAGTATTATATTTGAGCATGCTTGGTAAAGTAGATGGTCAGTGGAAAAAGAGTAAGACTCTCAACCAGATGAACTGACTGACATACGGCTGCAACAATGGGGCTCAAAGAGCAACACTGAAAGGAAGGCACAGGATCAACTGGAGGGCATCTAGCAATGACAGTGTTGAGCTAACTTTAGGCCAAACAATTGTTAAGCATAATTTGGCGAGCTCATGATCATTCTGTCTTTTGCCAAGTACTTCTTGGCAAAGAAAAAACTGGCATTGGGAGGATGGCGGGTGAATAATAAGCCTTAGTGATAGGCAGTTAAACCAAAAAGTATTGCTGGAAATTCACAGAAACCTTTGTTTAAATTATCAGAATGTAAAGCTACTGTTTTCCGACATATCCACCATCTAGGTCTATACACTTATGAAATTGGTGCTTCCGTCTCACTAACCCTTTGCTGAAAATCGCTGTGCTCTTTGATTTACACTGCGTCCAAATGGCAGTTTTTGCATCCTTGAGGGACTCAAATCGTGTTACTTTGAAATGTTCTTGGAGTGCACTGTTGATAGTACTTGTTTGCAGTCAATCACTGATCACAGAGACATGCTTAAACACGCTTTGTGTGGAATAAAACTGAGTGGGAACCCTAGTCGCAATACCTTTTGACTTTCTGGGGCTGGAGAACTGAGGTGTACCTCTTGCCGAATTTGGGTATCTGGAAAAGACTTGAATACTCTTTACCAGCTGTAAAACAGAACAACCTCTTCACCTAATTGAGCTATAAGATCCTAAAACAAAAACACAACCAAAAAACTCCACTGCGGGCGCTTGTGTCTACTCTGACTCAGCGACCCAAAAGGACAGAAGCAGATGGCTATATCTTTCTCCTAAAAAGCGGCTGGTGGATTTGAGCCGCCAACTACAATTGGCAGCTGAGTGCTCAACTACTGAGCCACCAGTACTTACTTATTCATTTTATCACTAGTTTTGCTTGCGTCTTTTTGATACCCCACCTGTGTGAAACTCGGAAATTTAAACTGGTCCTAAAGAATGCTCAGAATTTGGCAAGGTGTAACCTTGTCGTTGCTCTCCGAACTTTAGGGAAAACAATTTTGAGTTTTGCTGCCGGGGTTAAGTTACAAGTTTCAAAAGTCTAGCGGAGAAAGCACTTTTCCTTTAAAAATCAAGAGTTTGCGAGACCAGTTAATTCTTTTGAAGATCTCCACCTTCCGGTACCGCCAAATACCTTGGGACTGGTCTCATTTCGGAGGCTTCGATTGGGTGCCAGAGCCCTTCGCCGGCTATCTCTGCGCTAGGATTGGTTGATTGATATCTGAGCTGGGTGGGTGATTGGTTGCCTGCATTCGCACAGCGATTGGGTGTTGCGAGTCAAGAGGGTGGGAGGCGGGAATTCGTCGGGAAGTGTGTTGCTGAGGGGTTTTGGTGAAACCTCAAAGGGTGGAAAGGTAAAGTCTCCCGGGAGCGCGGGACCTGGAGCGGGTCCTTGCGGCCTAGTGAGAAAGGGGAGGGTAAGGCTTGTGGTCTTTCTCTGCTGTCATTTGCTGTTACAAATCGGATTTCTTTTCTCCTATTCAGTTTTCCACAGGACTTCCAAGTGTGGCTCTCGGAGGGAGGACACAGAGCCTGACGGAGGGGTGCCTTCTGCTTTCGCCCAACCCCACTATGCAGGCCCACCGGTGTTGACTGGGTTCACCTGGGCCTTGGGGTTCACAAGTGCTTGTGAGAGGAAGGAAATTTGGGGAAGAAAATCAGGGTCGAAGGGAGCCCCCTCCCTACAGTCTTGGCGTCTGTTATTAACCAGGTCTCTGTGTTAACTCTTGGCGGGTTGGGGCTCCTGCACGCAATCTGTCTGTCCATTATGCAATGTTGTGCACCCCTGTTTGAGGTGCACGTTGACACAGCTGGGGATTGATTAGATTACTAGGCTATAAATAACTAGGATCGTCTTGAGTTGATTCAGATCCCATTTTTTAGAGTTTAAAACTGGAAAATACCGTAGAATGTTGTTGTTAAGGGCCATCTAGTCAGTTCTGACTTGTACTGACCTGTATAGCGTTTCCGAAGAGG